CGCGTTCGGGGCCAGAGTCGTCGAGACGGCGCAGGAAGCCTAGGTAGCCGGTGCGCGCGTACACTTCGCCCGTGTTGCCTGGAAGAAGAAGAATTTTGTTAGGTCGTGGGGAAAGTTCTTGCGGTTTCTGTTATTTATGTTTTAAATGATTCATTTTATACTAAAATTGGCTTTATATATGATTTTAAAGCGCGTTTTTCGCTCTATCTAGTCATTGAATTCGTTTTGTTTTACGATTATTGTTATTTTACTTCAAATATAGGATGGAAGTTCGCACGATTTTCTTATTCCAGATGAAAAAAAAACAATTTCAGCAACAATCTCGCCGACTTAGCAAGTAAATATTTCTCTCCTAATTGCTATTTGTTGCTATTGTTAATAATTGTTTCCAGCTCCAGACGATGAAGACATAGATCTTCGAAAGCTTGAGAGTTTAAGTTATATGAGTGTACTTTTGCAATACTTGGCCTTCTACCGAAAGAAATTAAAGGATATATTCTCAGTTAAGGCAATTAAAAATTCAAAGGAAACGTAGACATCTAGAAATAACCCCAGCCTTCTGAAAGAGAGAAAAGACTATGTAAATCAAGGAGTCCATAAGGGCGTCCTACAATTGTAGGAACGACTTCTATAGTATAAGGAGCTTCCCACATGATCTTTGCTAATTAATCCTAGAAGCACGGGAACTAAGAAACAAGAGATATCGAAAAAACACCTACCTGTGACCAATCTGGCATTGAAATGATCCCCATACTCGCTCTCGTCCCCGTAGATAGTGAAGTACCCGCTAGCATTATGTCCACTCTGCACCCAGATTTCTCCCAAGTGGGAATCCCCACACTGCCCTTTCGTCTCGGGATTTGCGATGATCACTTTTACGCCAGGAAGGAGTTTTCCGCTTTCCATCAGGCACAGACTGTGAGGACTGCCCCGTTCTACAAGACTCACCCGGTCGTTTCTCAGCGCTCGGAGGTCTACGTAGACCGACGAGGGCTCAGGACTTGAGGCCCCCTGAAATGAAACCACACGTAACTAGAATTCTTCTTTAATGTACACGTTTCGATCACAATGATACTTTCGACAAATTTTATCTATCTAAGGA